TCTACCACCACTCTCCAGCTCCAGGGACCACATGTGGAGTCATTTGTCTCAGTCTTATAGCTGTTTGTTAGCTCCTTTATTTTATTTTACTTTGAAATGATTAACATTATGTTAGAAATATATTTATGAGAAATTTTTATTACAGAAAAGTACATTTTTAAAGCCTCATAAACCCAACACCCACAAATCTCTGTTGACTTTTAAAAAAAAAAGCAAAGTATACACATACGGTTAGAAAACCTAAATAAAGAAATAAAATGAAATGAAAATCTCTCTCCACCATCACTGTAACTAACCTTAGTAATTTCTGGAGATGCTTTCCAGAAAATAATATATGTTTATAATAGCTTATATGTATTTATGAACACATACTCTGTATCACACATATTACATGAATACATATGAATTCCATTCCCATACATTAATTTTAAAAGATGTGACTGTTGAAATTATTAAGATGTAAAATTATAAAAAGAAAAAGTGAAAGGAGAGTTGAAAGCAGAAAAATTAGATGACCATAAAGGCAACATATTATCATTCCAATAAATGGTCAATATAAAAATGATTTATGAGGGAGTTTCCATTCTTGTTTTTCTACTAAGTCTTTGAGTCCAATATGTATTTTACAGTTAGAGCACATCTCACTTTGCACTAAAGACATTTCAAGAACTCAATAGCATATATCAGTGCAACTCTACAGCACATAAAAATCACCAAGGGAGCTTTTAAGAAATACTTACAATCAGTCCCCATCTCTGACCAATTAAAATAATCTTTGGAATACAGCCAGGCATTGGAAGTTCAAAAAGCTTTCCAGCAAATCTTCAGCATTTTCAACACACCACACACACACACACACACACACACACACAGTTAACTATGTGAGGTGACAGACATGTTAATTATCTTGATCTCAGTCATCATTCAACAATGTATTATATGTATCAAGCCATCATATTGTACACTTTAAATATATACAATTATATTTGTCAATTATTTGTCAACAAAATTTTAAAAATCCTCTCCAGGTGATTCTCATTTGCAGCCAGGATTGAAAACAAGCAATCAGTGTGAAAAGTTTACTTGCTGAAATGTGCACAGAGGCCAAGGTGGGGAGCAAATGCTGTAGCTGCTAAGAAATTTCCCTTCAGAGATCATTAAGACCTTATCTGCCACAAAACTTACAACATAGACAAAGCTGGTCTCTTTTTGGGGAAATCTGCCCAGTAGAATGTTAGGTCAGATGGAACAAGAATATGGCTAATTGTAAGGACCAATTCACACTCCTATTTGTTGGAAACATATCAAAGGAATGCAAGCTAAATCAATTCAGGCTTCAGTAGAAATGGACTTCTCTCTTTAGAGAACCAAATATTCTTATAAATAGCGTATCTTGAGACATCTACCCATATCTTTATTAGAAAGAATTAGGATTGAACTAGGAGTATATATTGGAAATATCCATTAAGGTTGATGAACTAAGACACAATGCTTCATTCAACAGTTACACAGAGTGCTTAAAACCTTTCAAAGGCTTTGCATATACTTAGGAGGTAAATTCACTCTCCCTATGCCTCCTCTCTCTCTTACAAAACCTGAGTCCTACCTATGTATCTTCAAATCTGCCTTTTGACAGTTTTATCTGTCGCCTCCAATACCAGCCCCAATCATACTTACCCAACCCACCCTCTCCAATACATGTGTACTCATGGGCACACACAGCACCAACCATTCTGAAATTCCTCTAAATTCTAGATCAGTGCTATCCAACATAAATTTAATGAGAGTCACATACATAATTTTAAATCCTCTAGTAGCCACATTAAAAAAGTAAAGAGAAACAGGCAAAAATTAATTATTAATTTTATTTAACCTCATATACCAAAATATTATTATTTCAATATGTAATCAACATAAAAAGTAATGAAGACATTTTATACTTTTTTTCTACTAAGACTTCAAAATCCAGTGGGTGGTTTGGACTAGCCACACCTCAAGTGCTCAATAGCAATGTATGGCTATTGGCTACTTTATTGGACAGCCCAGTTCTAGCTTTCATAACCCCTACCCTTAGGACTACCATACCTGTATTCCTTTGGCCCATCCTCCCAACTCCCATGGTCTATGCTCTTATGTCTAGCCAGTGACTTCTCATCCTCAGCACCTTCACTGTCCCCATTAATCTAAAGCTAATGTCCTTGCTACAAGCTCCCATTATCAGGCTGTATTATAATCACTTACTTTACACTAGGAGTAATAAGGGATCAAAGATGCATATGTTTCTCCTATCAAGTAATTCATAATCTAGTAAAACTTATAAAACACATATACATTAAAAGCTTACATGAAAATTATAAGAGACTGTAAACTGAAAGTTTTGAATACAGACTACCTAGACTTGTATGTTAATTCCACCACTTAGAAGCTCTGTGATCTTAAACAAATTACTTAACCTTCTAAATTTATTTCTTCATCTATAGATGGGAAAAATAATAGAGTAATACTCATGATGTTTTGAGGATTAAATGAGAATATGTGTAAGCACATGTGACTGTCCTTCATGATTGGATTACCGCATTCTGCTGATTCTTCTTTGTAGCTGACTTCATTCCTTTGATAACTATGTAAGTTTAAAAAGCTAAAGCTCTAATCTGTTCTTAGAAACAATGATCAGTACATATATGTACACTAAAAAATGTGCAGTACATGGTACATATGTATTTACATACAATATAATGTGTATGTGCAGTCAAACCATAATTCTACCTAATAAAACTGAAAAAGGGAAAAAAACAAAAAACATAGAATACAAAAGATAAAGTAAAAAAAAAAAGAAATAGGGAAAAAAAGATAATCCAATCAAGAAGTTTACAATACCTAACACATAGTAATCCCTCAAAAAATATCAGCTATTATCCATTTCCTGGTATAGTCTGAACACAGCACGTGAATATATCTTTACTGGATGGACAATGCAAATGTAGGAAAAATGCGAAAAAGCAGTACTAACAAAATACCCTGGGTGTTCAGGAGAAATCTTTGGTGGGATCAAGGAAGGTTGTGAGAAGGAATTAGCATTTGATTTGAGTCTTAAAAAAAAAAAGACTTATTAGGGACTGTGATAAAGGGCAGAAGAACCAGGAATCAAAGTTGGAAAACTAGGTTGGGGTCAAATACCAGCAAATCTTTAATGTTGGCTTGTAAGACCCTATTCTTTGCTAAAAAACTTCCTGCAAGAAGCAAATATATCTGTAATAATTCACATATTTTTGAAATTCAAGCAGTATATCTTTTATATGGAGGCAATATTATAATATACAAACTATAACATACAAAATATATACATAATAAAATAATAAACAATTGTACTTGTCAAGAGAATCCTAATTTAAACAGAAATCCATCCTCAGACTTGACTCCCAGTCAGTCATGGCTTAATTGTATCAAAAATCTTTCAATCTGATTAATTTAAGACAGCACCCAAATGAAGCAACCTTGAGTTGAAATCTGTAACTATGCTTGCATGAACAGAAGCTAAGCTTTTCCAGGAATTGCTTTTTTCTTCTTCTCCTTTATATTTTGGTATTTATATAAGAGCTTGGGTTTTCATCATCCACTACCCAATAATTAACTAAAGTATTTACTGAGCTCTTACTATATGCAAGGCACATATTTTTGGTGCTGAGGATAAAGTATGAAAAAATGCCATTTTAGATGGCAAATACGATCCCTTGTATATTCGCTATCTTCTCTATCTTTACAGAATGGAATTCAGTATTTGCAACCTCTAAAAATTCATAGTTCTTCCATGCCCAATCACAGAGGACGGCCATTTTCCAGAAATCTCATCTCACAGTCATTCTTTACTGGCTGGAAATAGGTATGGTAAGTGGTTCACTTACGTAATCCTTGTGAAGATGACGTACCACCAATAGCGTTTTATACCTGGGCAATTTTTTTCAAGGACTAGCACTTGATACTGAAGTTACTAAATACTGCATAAGACAGAATTATGAGGTCTGAGGAAAATCAAACAGTAAATTCTGGGTCCAAAATAAAATTTTTTTAGGTAAACTTATTACAGGCTGCTCAAGAAGAAAAACATCACAAAATCTACAGACTTCCCCCAACCCAATCCCCTTTGACGTGTGCTCCCCACCTCCCACCAACCCCGCAGCCTACGCTCCACACCATGTTCTTAGAGGAAAGAGAGTATTTCTCTGCCGAATGGGGTGCTCTACTCTATAACGTGTGCCAGGTAAATGGCTAAAGTTTACTTAAGAGTGGCCTGTTACCACAATAAAGCACCTCTCACTCCCCACCTTCTCCTCTGGGGCCGCCCTGTACAAGCCCCTAGGGAGAATCCTGGCAGGGAGTTAAGGGGCGCGCACCTGCCTCGGCCACAGCGCAATGGCTGCACTTGGTGGGACGTGGGGCATGCTGGAAGAGTCCCCTCCCCGCAAATGAGAGTCCCAGCTGTGCGCCCAGACACTTCTGCCGCCTTGTTTCGGAGGCTTGGGCCCTCCCTACCCTCCCGGGTCAGGCGGCAGCTGCGACTGGTATTTCTCCTGGGCGTCGCAGTCCGCTGCGCTGCAGAGCCGGGTCCAAAGCCGGCATCGGAGCGACAGCGACCTGACGCTGCCCCCGCTGGTACCCACCGTCCGCGGAGCCGCCGCTCCCCTGGGAGCCTCCTCCGGGGCGCTACCCGCTCACCTGCGACCCTGGCGGCACCTCCCCACTGTCGGGGCGGGGGTGGGTGGCAAAAAAGATGCTTCATTAATTCCCCGCCCACTAACTTCGCCCGCCCCCCTGCCGCTAAGCCATTGGCTAGCGTAGCTGCTGCTCGTTTAATGAGGCTCGTCCATTGGTCCGGAGAGTACTGCCATTCTGGCTGAGGGCCCGCCCTAGGTCTGGCCTCACAATGGAAATCGAGTCCCAAACCGTTCCGGGTTAGTGCCCTGGATGCCGCCCCCTTGTGATTCGTGGCCTCCCACTCTACGCTCAGTCTTTGGCGCGCGGTCCTGTCAATCAAATAAGCTCTAGGAAAGGATTGGCCCCCGGCGATCAGCGTGCTGACTGTTCTGCCTGATTGGGACATAGGCTCCCTCCACCTCCAAACTCTACTCCTGTCCTGTAAAGGTCAGACTTACCTGTGAAAAAGGCAAAGAGGAAGTGGGACCCTTGCGTTGTTCCAGCTGCTTCCTAGCCAAGCCCAGCATCACCCTCTGTTCGGCCAACTGACCTAGATTGGCCTCAGCCATTCCTCTGAGTCTGCCCCTGCCAAAGATCACTGGTGATTTCCTCATGGCTAAATCTAGGCGTCACGTCTCAGCCCTTATCTTCCTTGCCTCTTCAAAAAAATATTTGACATGTTGACCTTTCTTCGTTGTTTTCCGTAATTCGTGCTTCCGGCTTTCCTCCCTCTGAGTCCTCTTCTCTATCCCCTTTGCACTTGCCCCTTTCGCTGCCATCTCAAGTTCTGGTGTTACTGTTGGATCTGTCTTCCTATTGCCTTTGTTCAGGCCTCTGCTGAGATCCTGAATTACATCAGTAGCACCCTTACTAGCATGTCAGTTACCCTGCCTGTTTGACTGCCCTCCATTCTTCATACTGTAGCCAGTCAGGCTGCTGACATTTCTTTAGTGGAACCACACTCATCTTGAGATGAAGTAGAAACTCTTGTAAAGAGTTCTTTTTCCCTCAGGCTCCATCTTTCATCAACATTCCTCCTCCTCCCTTTACCTTCTGCCTTACCCCGATTACTTGGCTTCTTTCAGATCCTAGACTTGACCGTGGCCTTGGGACTTAGTTTGCATTGCATTATTTCCACCTGGAATGATTTCTCCCTACCTCTTCCCTGCTATGCCCAGGACTCACTTTAGAAGTTACTTTCTGAAGAAAGGCTTCCTTCCTCTCCTTTCAAGTTGCCTCTCTAATGTAGGTTTGCAAGGTAAAAGACAGGATACTCAACTAAATTTGAGGTTCAGATGAATAACAAATAATCTGTAGTATAACTATGTCCTATGCAGTATTTGGCATCCTGTATTTTTATTTGCTAAGTCTGGCAACACTGCTCCAGCATGCTCCCTTTGTAGTCAGTACCTTTCCTCTGACAGCTCTTATCACATATTCCATGTGGGCAGGTCTTTCTTGTTCACTGTTTAAATTTCTTTGCCTAGCACAGTGCCTAAAATATAAAAGGCACCTAAAAGAGACTTGGTAAATAAATAATGGAATATTCTAGGGGAATCGTGAATAGCTGCTTGATATTCCTGGAGGAACTTTCTTCCATAAAACAGAAGTACTGATGAAATATGCTCTTTGAAATGAACAGTTAGTTTAATCTTTCGTATTTTTACTTGTGACTTTGTGAAAGAAGCATGTCTATAACTTTGCCTAGGTAGAACAAAAAAAATTGTTTTTGGAAAAATATGAGAACCTGTATTTTATATTTTGGATTTTTGTTTGTATTGGAGGTTTTTTGGGTGAGTGCAGTGAGAATTTAAGAGAACTCTGCATCCTTATTATGACCAGACTCTTCCTCTCTGATCCCTTTCAGAGTCTTTCTACTACTTGACTTTATTTATTTACTTCAGTGGCAGAGTTAAGGGCTAATAAGTCAGTACGTATTAAGAACCTTCTGCTTTTATATAATAAACTCTTTAAGCTTCCTCCAGTTAACCTCAGTCTCCTGGCTGCTTGCAATATCTTTTCCAGATACCCTCACTATTTTTCCTCATCTTGAGTAGATATGGACCAACAAGGAAGAAATTAAAGGTAATCTAAAACGCCTAGTATTAGTACCCTATTACCAATTTGGTTGTCTGCTTGCTAATTTGTTTTTTGTTAATAGTAATTTCAGGCTGGAAATTTGACCTAATATTTATTCTAAAACTGAGTTGTTCAATTGCGGTAGTCACTAGCCAGATGAGCCCTTGAAATGTAGCTACTACTATAACTGAATAACTGAATTTTAAATTATAAAATTATATTATATTTAATTGTAATTAATTTTAACTTAAAACCTGATACTCAAATTAGTTACTGCATAATATCTAAGTATGTTTGGAAAACTTTTTCAACTGTAAATTTTATGAAATCTAAATACAAATTGAATATTTCTGATAAAAATTAGCATCCGAATTGAGATGTGCTATAACTGTAAAATATTTACAGGATTTCAAAGATTTAGTATAGAAATGTAAAATGTCTCATTGATAATTTTTATATTGATTATTAGTTGAAAGTACAATCTTTAAATAATTGGGTCAAGGAAAATATATTATTAAAATCAATTTTACCTGTGATTTTTTTTTTCACTTTTTAAAAATGAGGCTAATCGGAAATTTAAACTTACATGTGTGGTATGCATTCTCTTCTTTTAGACAATGCCGTCCTGAACTGTGCTTGGCCACAGCTTATTAAAGTTCTCAGAGTGAGAATATAATAGTTAACTAAAATCTTCCTATTTCATTGCTTATTATTTAACCAAAGGGAAAGAAAAAAAAATCACTTTGCCTGTCCTTCCTCTAAACACAGTTTAGTTAAGAAAAAAATAACCCAGTGAACATGTTACACCCTATATCACATACCAGCATTTGCACTTAACTGTATCACGTTGTCTTCAGTCTCCATTTTTGCCTGTGCACATGGTATTTCTTCTTGTGCACATGCCCTGCTTCCTCCTTGTCTTGTCCTTATGACGCACTCTTAACTCTCCTTCAAAAACAATACTTCCCTGGCAATGCTACATCAGCTTTTCCTTTTTCGTGAGTTTTACACTTATGCATATTCTAGGTTATCATTCAGTATTGCTGTTAACTTTTACCTTTTTATCTTAAGCACCTAGAGCATTACCTGGCACTTAGTCTGGCAAAAAATAAATTTGGTGAGTTGATCTCAACACTGACAAAAGAAAACTCACTCTGCTTTCTTTTCTGTGATAAAATTGCTTGCAGTTTTCATCCTCCGTCAGATAAATTATGATGGTTTCCAAAATAGCATCGAAAGCTTTTCACCAGCAAATTTCATGTTTCTAAAAAATTTACACAGACTGGAAAGCCAGTATGGTTCTGTAGGAATTGTGGCAATCAGTTTCCTTTAGATTTTGTTTCCCTTGTAACTGGGAAAAATAGGACGTGTTAGAACACGAGCTATTTTGAAATGGTGATCATTATAGTACGAGGTATGAATGGCAGATTTTAGTTTCAGAGATCAGTCTGCTGTCAAATCCTGAGAAGTCAAATGGGTTCTGACATTCCAACCAGCATCGACTGTGGTTAGGTTGCCATTTTTGTTTATGGTAGGAGTTTAGTTTCTACTAGAATAGCCCGTGAAATAGAACGGGCCAATGGTTATTAGGAGAGTCATTAAAAATATTTTTTAATATTATTATGTTTTTCACTCCAGTGCACCTATGCATGGAGCTGCACATGAAAGAAACAGATCAATTGCAAATCTGGTAATTTGGAATTGTGCCCCGAGTCACTTTCTATTTGGAGCTCATTTTTCAAAATCACTTTTGGTATGTATATTCATGGTTTATCTCTCCTGTTTGACAGTCAGAGAGGCCCCTTGTTGAATAACAATTTTAACGGTTTTGTAGGATGACCCCCTATTTCTTTGGATCCCCTGCATAATGAGTTTTACGTATGCAGAATAGCCTATATTTTAAATCACCCCATGCCAAATACATCCTGAATAGATAGTAAAAATTGATCTACACTTTTTTTTTACATGATGTGTCAACAGAAAAACATATGCATAAATTTCAGTTTAGTAGTAAAGATTGATCACACTGTTTTCTGTCTGAGAAACTACTGTGGGATTTTGTAACCTCTTGGTTGTGGTTATGCATGTGCGCTCTTGAGTTCCTTTTGTAAGAATTGCACAGATTTCTGAAGCTGGGGCTATTTCATTCACTGGTGAGTTCTCTTCCCTTAACTCATTTAAAAAATAAGTTTTGAATACTGTTCAGCACTGATCTAAGTGCTGTTCACAGTTCAGCACTGATCTAAGTGCTAATCACAGTTCAGTACTGTTCAGCACTGATCTAAGGACCTCGTATACGTTAATCTATTGGACTTTTATCATAACACTACGTGGGAAGTCTACTAGTATCCTTCAGATTTTTTAAATGAGGAAACTGAGGCAAAATGACGTTAAGTATCTTTCCAAGGCTGCACAGTTAGTAAGTGGCAGAGTTGGAATTTAAACCCAGTTAGTCTGTACATGTAAACCCCATGTTGTACCATCACTCAGAATGGATATGATCACTACCTTCAGGGAGATTGCTTTAAAGATGCTAAAATGTTTGAAAAGGTTTTAATAACAAACAAACTGTGCCCACAAAACACTGTGTTTTTCGTAGTATTTATTGAGCTATGTCATAAGCTCCTCAAAGCCAGGAATTAGTATATCACTCATCTTTCTTTTTACCCCAGCACGAAGCACAGACCTTACATTTACTGTTTAGTCTCAAACTAGATTTCAGGTTGTGCAATGGGCAGTTATCATAGAATTCCTCTGAACAGTAGCCACAGTCAAGGAATCTATCATTAGTTAGCAGCTGACTGAAAGTTTCTTTGTACTACATTGTCCATTGCTTTTACTTCACTTCTTCACCAATTTGTCTTTCTTGTTCTGATTTACTACACTTAGTATGATAATATCTAGGTCCATCATGTTGCTGCAGATGGTACTATTTCATTCCTTTTTATGGCTGCATAATATTTCTCCCTCTCTCCCTCTCTCTCCCTCTCTCTCTCTCTCTATATATATATATGTATATACACACACACATATATGCCACAACTTCTTTACCCAGTCACCTGTTGATGGACATTAAGGTTGCTACCATGTCTTGGCTATTGTAAATGGTGCAGCTATGAACATTGGGGTGCAGGTGTCTTTTAGAATTATTGTATTTCTTTTCAGGATATATGCCTGGGAATGAAATTGCTGGGTTATATGGCACCTCTATTCTTAATTTTTTAAAGAACCTCAATACCATTCTCTATTTTGGCTGCACCAATTTACATTCCCACCAGCAGTGTAGAAGGGTTCCTTTTTCTCCACATCCTCTCCAGCATTTAACGTTTGTGGACTTTTGAATGACGGCCATTCTGACTGGTATGAGGTGATGCCTCACTGTAGTTTGGATTTGCATTTCTCTAACAATTAGCAATGTTGAGAATCGTTTTGTGTGCCTGTTGGCCATCTGTATGTCTCCTTTGGAAAAATGTCTATTTAGATCTTCTGCCAATTTTTTGATTGGTTTGTTTGATTTTGATATTGAGCTGTATAAGCTGTTTGTCTATTTTGGAAATCAATCCCTTGCCAGGCACATCATTTGCAAATATTTTACCCCATTCCATAGGTTGTCTTTTCATCCTGTTCATAGTTTCCTTTGCTGTGCAAAAGCTTTTATTTTAATTAGGTCCCATTTGCTTTTTGGGTTTTTTGCTTTTGTTTCCATTACTCTAGGGGGTGGATCAAAAAAAATATTGCTGACATTTATATCAGAGTGTTCTGCCTATATTTTTCTCTAGGAGTCTTATAATATCCAGTCTTCCATTTAGGTGTTTAATCCATTTTGAGTTTATTTTGTATATGGTGTTAGAAAATATTCTAATTTCATTCTTTTATGGAAACTCTCCAGTTTTCCCAGCATCACTTATTGAACGCACTATCTTTTCTCTGTAGTATGTTCTTTCCTCCCTTGTCATTGTTACAAGTTAACTGACCATAAGTGCATGAGTTCATTTCTGGGCTTTCTATTCTGTTCCATTGATCTATGTCTGTTTTTGTGTGCTAGGACCATACCTGGTTATTATAGCTTTGTAGCATAATCTGAAATCAGGGAGCCTGATTCTTTCGACTTCATTCTTTCTTCTCAAGATTGTTTTGGCTGTTAGGGGTCTTTTGTGTTTACATACAAATTTAAAAAAAAAATTTGTTACAGTTCTCTGAAAAATGCAATTGGTAATTTGATGGGGATTGTACTGAATCTGTGTATTGCCTTGGGTAGTGTGGCCATTTTAATAATATCAATTCTTTCAATCCAAGAACATGATATACCTTCTATCTGTTTGTATTATCTTCAATGTCTTTCACTAGCGCCTTACTGTATTCAGAGTACACGTCTTTAGCCTCCTTAGGTAGGTTTATTCCTAGGTATTTTGCTCCTGTTAATGTGAGAGTAAATAAGATTGTTTCTTTAATTTCTCTCCCTGATAATTCATTGATAGTGTATAGAAAT